CTCGTGTTATTCCCTCGGAATTGTATGCACGCCGGTCGAGTTCAGTTCAGTTGAGTATATGGTACCAATCATCTTGCACTTTCATGCGGAATATTTGTCACTATCTGTTGGCTTGCCAGTTGGATGAAGGAGTCAAAGGAAGGAGCAGGGAAATGGGTGCAAATAATGCGTATATGCCGATATATGGCGATAAATGTGCGTGTCCCTGATATACCCAAAGGCTTTGCATCCGTCTGTTCGCCAAAAAGGGTAATGCGGTAGTTGATAGTCTTGCCGACATTCTCTTACTTGCCGAATGAGGCTTCACTTCGGTGATTTGTGCCATTATTCCTATTAATTATAAACATGTACACTACGGAACTCACAAATTTCGCTCTCCGTTTGTTCAGACTGACTCTGGTTTAGTTGCAAGGTTAGGGCCTGACCTACATTGACCTTAGAATGACATCTACAGCTCCGCGAGATTCTGTTCAACCAGTTGCTTGAGAGCTTATCAGCAGCGCTTCCGGCATTCAGGGTTTATATGACTTCGTTTCATCTGTATTTGACCGAAATCGAAGCGAGGAGTTTTTGGATTATGTCTCTAGAGTGAAAACTGGCATCCATGAATCATTGTTATGACCACTACTCTATATTTCTAAAAGCTTCATTCCCACTCGGTTTACGGAATATCATAGAAGACGTCCTGAAAAGAACAGTTATCAGCTAGGTTTCCAGTTCGCAATGGTTTCACACCACGGAATAGGGATACAGAGTCAATAAGCTCATAACAGAAACAAATCAATGGTACTCTTTAATACTACAATTTTGATGGCTTTTAATCGCAAAATAACCACATCACGATATTCCGATTACAAGTATGACTTCCGTGATTCAATTATCAAACTAACTCAACCACAATACTATTTATCCTTTTTTTGTATAAATATAATGTAATGGTTGGAAAATGAAGTTGTTGAAAGCATTTTTTGCCTACAACATTTATATTCCTTGTGTTATAATTCCAAAAGGCGGTGCTGGTCGAGGATATTCGTTCACTGAGGATCATAGTAATTTGGACACCAGTAATTGAATATAAATAATATAAAAATCTAATCAGAAACATACCATGGCAGTTCCTGTTCACACGACGGGCAATGAATGTAGCAATCGATAGTTATTCTTTGAGACCCAGTAAATTGCCCTCAGTGATCTTATTGATTTTTGGTCGTTGAAACAAATCACCAACTAGGTTACCTACGACTCACAAGTGAGTAGCGCCGCATAACACTTGAACTTTAATCACTCTTTACCGAGCTTGATGAGCGTATTCTGACGGAGTTATTGCAAGAAAGACCATTAAATCAATCAATGAAATTATATTTTACGTGCGATATTTCAATGAAAAAAAACAGCAAAAACTTCAGACCTACTCGGTTATTATTCGGGATTATTAATATAGTTCTGCTATGAACATCAAACAACCACCCAGGTCAAGAGCGGTGTGTCGATACTGTCGGTTTTTCCCCGAAGATGCACCGATCATGCTACCTAGCCTGACTACGAAACGTCTGAGAACAATAGCTCGAGCTTGGAGAAGAACACACCAAAACCAGCATAATATAACCATTCTTGAAAAGTGTTGACTGTCAACCCTGTAGCTTAGGGTTCCAAATCTCAGCCTTAAAGCATGTGGTTCGAGTAACGGCAGTGACAAGTAACGTCCGTGCTGCTGAACAGTGTGAGTAGGAACGAAACAGCTGTTTAGCACGCTTTGTTGAGCATCACAAAGAATTCTCCGACAAGTGGAACGCATTTCACCTTAGGGGATCTGACGAACTTGATGTGTTCTTCGCAATGCATTCAGACTGCTATCCCACAGGTTTGTTGCGAAGCCCTTTACTTGCACACACACAGACATTTTTTCTGAATGAAGAACACGATACGCATGTCAAATGGTCCAAAGCTGATTAAAATCATGATAACTGAAAAAGAATCGCTGACTTGGGATCGGTACACTGTACATCAGTTATTGCATATTTTCCTACGTAGGTATGGGTTTCACATCACACACACAGTGTATCACTGATCTCACTCACCGATTGGGAGAGTGCGAAATTCGATGAACGCGCTCAGGTGTTGCGTGTCCACACCGCTGGTGGTGTTCAAAATCCAGCTGGGTGGTTCCGGTGATTGAGAGGTGATTGGGGGTGTGGTTTGTGGCAAAGCTTGAACACAAACACGATGGAGTGTGTCCGGTGGAAGATCTGATCGAGAGATTAGTTACCGTGTATGACAATGCAGTTGATGTTGGATGAGTGAAGAAGGGGGGTGGGGTAACACAACGGGGACAAAGAAAGAAAGCAATCAATATAAATGAGTGAGCACGGGATAAGAAATACGTACTACTCATAGTACTTTGAAACCTTTATAAACAGGGAAGTTCATGTCAGTGTATAGCAAAAGGTTACTTAATATTCCGAACAACTCACGATTACTCATTCTACTTCTGAGAATAATAAACAGTTGTTATAACTTTTTTCATTAGATGCTTATTCCTAAAGAAAAACAGGTTGCTGATAAACAGGACTGATAGATACGAAGTTAATAAAAAGGAGAGGTACTGAGAATCATGAAGTTTGGAGCAGGTCAATAAGCCGGCGCGAAATGTGTCTATTTTGAATGGAAATCGTAACGCGAAATCTACCATGCATATAAGTTTTGATCACCCAAATATTGTTCTGATCGTAGTGATTTCGACTTATCGATGTCTTACACTACGTCTACGGTTACTGTGGAGAATCCCAGTCACAATACAACATATGAGATTCATTCTGTGTTGCAACCGTGTCCAACTGTGCTATTTTGTATGATGTGCAGTTCATGTTCTCGTTTTGTTTAACGGACTGAGAAAACGAAGAACTAACCAAATTAATAGGTCGCTTCTTATCTAATGAATATTCTGATGGGCTTCAAGATAAGAACATAAAAACAATGATTACGAAACAGAAATTGTTCAATTAATGCGATGAATACAAAGCTGTATGTCTACTTCTTTGAGAGGTGACACTATGGTGGATATGATCAACTGATATTTAAAGGCTGAGATTATATGTTCACTTATGAAATGAAATGTCTTTTTACTTCAGGAAGGGGGCTGCAGACATACAAAGGCTGTTTGGGGAAATACGGAAATAGGGAAGACGGGCGGCGGTGGAGCGATTCGAACCCGAACACACCATGCCACTGAGCTTAATATTCTCTTCTAAACCTGTGCCTTCACTACAGATTAAAGACAGGATGCCAATATAGATGAACTCATTTCGTAATAACCACTTTGGTTTCTCCTGCAGTTTCAGCTTCATATGTTGAACCACTACAGACACTTGGCTGATCCTATCCGGCACCATAACCCCCCAAATGGCTTGGGAACGGACAGCTTAGAAAAGGACCAACAGCGATTGTTACGCCTATCACCGAAACAAATCATTTGGCTAATCTGATTGGATCTTTCCGGCCTATTTGTTCTGTCCAGAGGTTGCAATTAGAAGGAGTTTAGAGGCGCAGGTGATCACAATTTGACTGAAAATTTCTTCCGTGTTCTAAGAAACAACTCAAAGCGACATGTTTATCCCTATGGAGTGACCTTTAACGGGAATGATTAGACCATTGGTGAATTGACCATGATCTACTGGTATGAACTTGCATTCCAACCCACCCCATTTGCTCTCTTGATTTGATCTCCGTAACCCCACTCACTTTCACCTTGGTGTTTATAAATGTGTAACGGCTTTATTGTTATGTTGCATTTGTATGCAACCAACCGGTGCATTTGTTAATCCAATAATAAGCACAATGTAATAAAAGCAAATAAATGACGTAGAAAGTGTGAAGGTTATCCGCTAGAATTATTATCACTATTCGTCATTCAAGGCAGTATGTGGTGGTGGTAGTGGTGGGCAGCATGAAAAAAAGCTAGCTGATTCCTCGATTTACGGCTATCGAAAATGCTAACTATTGTCGATGCTAGAGTATATATCAGTATTGGTCGAACACGAACGGATCAGATTGAGGGCTACATAAACAACCAGCCCATCAAACCAGCCACATAGAACACGTGCGTTGTGAATTGCTCGCCCTCTGTGGTAGACTGGCCACCAAGTCGAACCCGGAACTTCTTTTCGGGTAGTTCACACAACCTCGAATGGAAGGCTACTAATATTTGCAGAGGCCATAGCAATCAAGCGCCGAAAGCCCCTGCTTTGTCAGCAAAAGGTCTACATCAGTCTCATCTTACCCTGGTAATCACGTAAGCGGATAAGTGAATTGATGCCATGTTGGACTATCAACACCTATATTCTGCAGTAAGTATGAGCTGAGATGCAGTGTTGTGTTCTTTGTTCAAGTTTATTTCGGGAAATAATTTCTTTATTGTTGACATGGTTGTCTGAATGTAACAACACATACGAGCAAATTTATAAATGGAAAAGTGGTAACACTTTTGCAGTAAAACGAAACGGAGTAGTGAAACCCAGTCATTAGTGATAATTTAGTGGTACTGTTTTCTTGGTTTCGATATACGGCACTGATTAACTGAAGGTCTAATCAAGTAAACTTAAGGATTCTTCACAGGTTAGCTGCAGTGTAAACAACACACACAAAAACACATAAAGAATGTAATTTAATGTAATTTCAACTAAATCCAAAAGAGCATCATGCTCGAGTTTTGTTCAAGTTGAAAAACATAAACATTCTGATTCGGGGTTTAACAGGCAGGTCTATACAACAGCAACAATAATATGACTAATGAAAGATACGAGGGAACGTGAAAGTTATCCAAATTTTCAAACTTTTGGACCATGAGGGGATGTTAAGAGAGTCAATTGAGATTTGTTCGGGTGCTTCTGGAAGGCTCATTTGTGTGCAGTTCGGCCACGGGAGCTTCCACCGATTTCGTTTGAACACTCCGGGGAAGAAGGATACTGACTAAGTGCTCTGTGACTAGACTACAATATTCCTCTCTCTCTCTCTCAATGGTCATTTAATAGGTTCTGTTGTGTAAGCATGATTATGCAACGGTGCAAAACAGTTTGCTTGCCACACTATGTTGTTCTTAACAGGTGCTCTGTGAGACTGTTCGAGCAATTTGAATTCTTATCCCCGTTTTCACTTCGAAGAACAAAAAACCGGGAAAAAGCATGGTGCAATTATCTCAAAACCTTTCACTGATGAGTGGCCCATTGTCCTTGTATGACTAATCCACTTTCATAAACAGAAAATAGAAGGATAAAAATGAAAAAAAGGATGGAGATGCAAATTAGAAAAAAATGGTATTCAGCCAATTTACCGGTGAGTAATACTTTGTACACCCCTGGGGGACAGTTATATAATTCTTGTTGATTGAGGTAGACACGATGCCAGTAGTTGCTGTTCCCAGGGATCCAGCTCAGTTTCGCTGACTTTGTTCCAATCTGAGTGGCCCGTAAACGTCCCGGAGTAGCTGTCATTCCTCGACCGACAACCAGAGTGCATTCGGCATCTTTCGATTGACCGCGTGTACAAATCGCTCGGATAGATATTCGATGAGGCTAGAAGGCAATGCAATCGATAGCCATTCTTATGAATATGCGAATTAAAAATTTCAAACTAACAACCCCTAATACAAATTGCAATGATGTTTCGCTAACATCAGTTTCCAAACAGGAGCGCAGGTTAATAAAAAAAACAGTTCATCAGAACGTAATCGTTGAACAATAATATGTCTAGGCCGTCTCACATGTTATCAAGGAAGAAAGCCCTATAAGATGGAGGTAGAAGAAAATCGTTTTCAACGATAATTCAAAATAGTTAAATCACAGGGTTGAGTGACAATTTCCAAATTTAGCGATGATACTTTTTTTTAAATTAGAAAAAAACAGTCAGATATTACGCTTCATTCATTTAGATAAGCATGCAGTACTCCTAAATCAATCGAACTGTTTACGGGGAGTTTGCACAAATTAAGGCAGGAGGAAGTAAATTGGAATTAGCAATCAATAATCATCAGGTTCGATTTAAAGTTCATGGATAAAAAGTTCGTGAAACAGAGCTACGAGATCCACTAGAACCATTTCAGTTTTTTGAAAAAAGCCTTTTCTGTCGCATGAACCGGATTTGAGAAGGGGTAATCATTAAAAGACAAGAACAGATCCACGACTAAACCGTTCCAGTTTGATTGCACAGACTTTGACGAAGAAACATACAGATTAAGTAAGTCAGCAACCAGTACACTTCAGAAGAAACACCCAAAGAAACGTATCAATGTGTTTTATTTATTCGTTTTATTTTATTTCTCCACTTCAGTGAACGATCCAAGTGTTCTGTGTGCTTGAGGGGACCATAAAATCCCTTCCGCAGTTACTAGTGTTACGCTTTCACTTGAACTAACAGCTGCTTCGTTCACTTCCCACACACTGGCAGTGGACTACAATTGTTCAGGCTTGTCAAAAGCTTCGAACCAACTAACGTGCACGCAATGTAGCGATTAGGACCGGACTCATCCTACATCGTTGAGAAACCGGCCGATTCGCACACTTGAGGGAATTATGAGAGAGAGAGAGAGTGAACAGGTCACTAAAGAAATTAGTTCCGATCGGAATAGTTAGTGGTAATAAAAATCAGGTGAATTCCTAAGCCTAACTTCGAGTTTTCTAATCCATGTGAAGCACCGATCACGGAAGAACAATATAATCTAGGCCAAGTAATTCAGAAAAAAATATTTGAACAGCTTAATAAAGCATAATTTACCTTCATTTCATGTTTTAAAATGAAAATGAAACTTTAATAAACATTCAAAGATAGCTAAATGGTTTAAATCTACAATAACTGTGGAAATAAAACACAATCTTGCCGAAAGATAACGTAGGAAACGTGATTCAACACACTCTTTTTCTGCTAACGAGATACGGTGGCACATATTTTGTACGGGATAAAAATACATGATATTACCATGAGGTTTTGAGAAGCTCATGAACTCGAGGCATTGTTATCTAGAATAACGAGTGACGGACTCACCTCTGGAGCTAAATAAACAACCTTTTTGATGGAAAGATTTTGGGTAGTGATAAAATCGCGTATTTCAGAGGGATTTCATGGTAACGAAATTCTGATCAACTTTTTTGCTTAACAGAAAGCTGCATCAGTCACGGAAACAAGCATCACTGTAATTATGATTTTTGAACCTCGGTTTGTGTCTTGGTTTGCCACATTATTAATACACTAGTCAAACAAAACAATTTTAACCAAATGTTTTTCAAGTTTTATAACCACATAGGTGCGTGCATAGTATTAGATTAATTGATTTACTAGTTAGTTGAAGCTACTTTAAACACAATTATTATTCTTCGAAAGAGTTTTTCTTATCCAGTTGAGACAGGCTAGTTACCGATAGTATACATAGTGGGAAAAATAGATGGAGAAAAAAACTTCTAATCAGGGAAAGGGTTTTGCCAGTCAGGCAATTGAGAAATAAACCGATCATTTTACAACTGTTCATTCACTTATTATAGTTTATCTCGTCCACAGATATTTGCTGCTTGCTTTAGGCCGTGTTAATAGCTAAACACACACTCAAAAATTGCGTGTACTCTTTCCGTGTCGTTCATCGGGTCGTGATAAACCTATGATGTTGATTGATTACACATTAATCGCGAAGTGCTCAGCAATAAACTGTCTTAGTAACTTTCACCTCCAACCAAGTGAAACAATGAGCCCACTTATCAATCAATCGCTATAAAAGTTCTGAATACCTCGGAAGTTGCGGTTTATCATACAGAATACACTAGGTTGACCGATTTTTATGTCATACCAGAGATACAATATGAAATCCCGTTATCCACTCCTCACACTTCATTGTTGAATCGTTTGTCGAAGCAAGGGGTGGTGGTGTTGGTGATGACGCAGTAGTTTAGTTGCTATCACAAGTGTGCTTTGAACTCTATCGTCCGAGATTTGAACCCCACTACGGCCGCCGAACTTTGGTGTTGGACAGCTTCGTTTTCGTCCGGTTCAATATAATCCCTCAGCGATTGGGGCCTTAGGTAGTTTACCACTATAAATCTCGGGGCTTAGGTTGCTGGTTTCCATCACTGAACAGTAGATCGTCGCAAACATGGTGTTTACTCAGTCTGCAGGTCATCGCCCAAGGGTGTGTAATAAGAACTGGAGGTAGTGATTTTAGCAGCATTCCGGAACCAATTTAAATTGAGGAGCTCGAAAACTGATGACGTGGAACAGTTTATTTTTTACTACCCCTTAATTTCCCGATGACTAAGTAGCGCAATAACTCCCAAAAGGGTTTCACAGTTCCGTGGAACATCAGNACTCAATATTAGTTAAAGAATACCGAAACACTGGCAGTTGTGCACCGCTATCCCGCAACTATATAATAAACATCAATGAATGGGCGGCAGGTACACATTTTAATTCCTTTTTAGTATTTCTCGAGTCCACCGCTCACCAATCGGTCGATCGTTCTTTAACAATCAGGGCCACTACGATAACCAAACAGAATAGTCTCAGGTATTTTGGACACATTTACTTTATTTGCTGTTCATTTTTCAAGCTTACGACGGATTGGTGGACCTTGCCCAATTTTTCGGCAATTTTTTCACGAAGCGTTTTATGTGCCAATTGGGCTCGGAGAAACAAATCTGGCTGATTACGATGCAGTGGGGTCGTTTGCCGTTTGCCTTTTGTTCGTTTGACCAACCGCGCGCGCGCGCGCGCGCGCGCGTGTCAGGCTAGTTGGAGAACGATGAAAGCAAAATGATCTCCTCCACCAGTAGTAATCCGCAACGCATCTCAACATTTATGAGTTGACCGGAGACGACCACCGTTTTCGATTCCTGATAACAAATGAGCAGCGTTATTTCCACAAACGAAGCGACACTAGCTAATAACTCATTGCAGTGAACTAAACAGCATTAGTGTCCCAGAAGTGTTCTGTTTACTCCCTAGCATACAATACTAATAGGCAACTCAAAATAAGCAAGACAGCAAGACAAGAAATACCTTGGAAGTGAGTAGTGGGTGGATAGAAGAGAGACGGTTGTAAGGGAATATTATTCACGATGTTCTCTGTCTGTGAACGACTAACAAACTCACACACGCACAACAGACTCATCCTCACTGTCCACGCGGGTTTCAACAGGACAACCGAACTCTGTTATTATCCAGTCTGAATGAATTATTCAAGCAGTGACTTTCTAGCGACTGAATGCTGGTAAAAAAGTGATCACCAGTAAGGGAGAACCGGCTTGGAAGATTGCAGCGAAAACAATCAGTCTCAAAGTATCGTCCAACCGACTTCGGCTCACCAACTAAACAGCTCACTTACTTTGTCAGAATCCACTCGATCAAGCAGGGCGCGTGTCTTTTCCTTTGACTGAACCGACATACGAAACTGACCATCCACATAAATGTGATAAGCGGATATGATCGTCTGAATGGCAGCAGCTGAGTCCGGGGGCTTCCAACTGATAAGTACACTGTGAATAAGTTGACGTTCCAGTGTGATCATTTTGGGTGCGGGGATATCTGAATCAAGATTTGAAGGACACATGAGAAGGTTCATCAGGCGTGTGACTTCAAGGAATTGTATGAAAGTCAAAATCGACTAAATAAAGAATTACGAGGTGAAGTTTCTTCATGCAAAAATGATAACCAACCTACAAAAGACCGATTTCAATGACAATAGTTGATTGCACAAGCTAAAACAAGCTAATTGCCTCAATGACCATCAGCACGACGCCCAAGTTTTTCAGTGAGATCCGTTACATCCATGGATCTCATGATATTAAAAGTTGATTGGATATTCACGAAAGAATCATTATACATACTTGGGTTCCTCAAGGATATTTCCAGATTTCTCTTCACCTTGAGGTAACGATGAATAGATGAGCACCATCTACCTATCTATCTATCTATCTATCTATCTATCTATCTATCTATCTATCTATCTA